ACTGCAGCAAAGAATGCCAGAAGAGCGCATGGGCCTTCCACAGGCACTGGTGCGTGGCTGCCTCTCAGTAATTTGATTTTTTGGGTCTCATGAAGGCTTGGTGTCGAGTGACACCACGGCCTTGACGAAAGAAAGCTGCTTGTTTTGATACCACTCGCCGCATTGATGCGACATGCATTTGCACTGCAAAGCGTTTTTAGTACACACACCGCATTTATCTTCGATACCACAGGACTACGGCGCACAGGTCGGTTTAATGCAGATGATTTGGGCATCGCTCTTTTTGCGAAGGAACAGTATTAGTATTTTTTATCACCGGGCTTCGCATTTGCACTGGCATGATGAGGTGCGAAGGCACATTTCTGCAACACAAGGGAATTGAATTTCCTCTGTTGCTGTAATTAGTACATATATATATATCGGGAGGAGGAGAAGCTACGGAGGATGGGTTCTATGAGCGTCCCTATGGGATATATGGTTCTCACCCTACATGAAACGGGGGCGAATTGAACGATGTCTCGATGAGGGGGACAAGACGAAGAAGCGGGAGGGTTTCTATCAAGTCTGATAACCCACAACTCAATTAGCAAGTTCATAACAACACAAACAAGCGTTATTTAGAATCTTTCTGCACATCCACTTCGCTCATAGATGAATGAATCACACAAATTTATTGCATAGTTGAGGTTTCCTGACTTCCTACTGCAGACAGAAAACTTGATCATACGTCAGAGGCAAGAGGTGCTCAGTGGTTGCAATTCTAAGAATCGAAGGATAAAAAAAAGCTGAACTTCAAAAGAGACCTGACTCCTGCCTCACAATTAAAGAAACTCAAATCCTAATGCATATGTAATATTTTCTACCAATTTCCGCAGCCTCCTTTTCCGAAACCAGGCTCGCCTCCAACAAACAACTATGGGCGTTTACCGACTTGCCATGGCCTTGCGCCTGCCCTTCCCAGGTCTCGACTTGCCCACCTTGCCCTTGGCCTTCATCGCCTTGGGGTTGAAGCCGCTCAGGTCGGATGAGCTTACGGCGTCGCCAGACTTGCCATGGCGCTTCTTGCCGCCGAAGCCGTATTTCTCATCCTTCTTCTGGCGCTTCTGGTTGCCGCCGTTGCGCCCGCCCATGTTGCCGCGGCCGGCGCCCGATCGCGAGTCGTACTTGGCAAGCTCATTGTCAATGCCGACGTCGAATAGGTCGGCTTCGTTGGTGCCTAGGCCGGCGCCACCTGTTTCTTGACGTTCTGAGTAAGGTATTGTGTTAGTGCTTTGTGTTCATTGAATGTCAAGCATGGGTATAATCTGATTTGATTTCATCTGATGATTGGGTCAAATGAAGAACAACTTACTTCTCTTGAGAGTCTTGATCTTTTCTAGAGTCTCACGCTTCGCCTTCTGGCGCTCCTGGAGCTTGGCGACCTGGACTTGCTTGCCGAACTTCTTGAGGTCGCGCTGCTTGCGAGCCTCGGCGGCGGCCTTCTTGTTCGAAGCCTCCTCGACCAGCTTGGCCTTGATCTTCTCCATGTGGGCGTCCTCCTTCAGCATCTCAGCGAAGTAGTCCTTGGGGCGCGAGAAGGGGACCTTCTCTCCACGGAGCTTGGTGCGGGCCTGTCGCACAGCCTCGAGACTCTGGGTGTAGAATCCCAGCTCGCGCTGAAGGTCGTCGGAGACATCTGGGATAGCTTCCGAAGCCAGGATGGTGGATGTGATGGTCTGGTGGGTGGCGAAGGGGACGGATTTATCGGAGGGGATGGCTATCCGCTTGAGGGAGGTGAGAAGGGCGGATGTGTTGTTGATTGTGAGGCGGGAGTGGGGGATAAGGTCTTCCTTCTCGGCATCGGAGAGGTCCTCGAGGTCGGACATGGGAATGTCCTCCTCGTCCTCGTTCTCTTCTTCCTCATCATCTTCGTCGTCGTCGGCATTGGGCTTTGCCTCGACCGCCTGAGTCTTTTGGTCTTTCTTGGGCTTTCGAGGTAACCGCTTTTCCATCTCAATTGAGGACTCGGATGTATCGCTGTCGTCAATGGCGTCCAAATTTACCTGTACCTCTGGTTAGATCCCGAATATCATTTGGAACTGGCGTGTGACACATACCCCATTGCCCATTTCCTCGTCTTCTTCGCCTTCAACATCTTCTTCTTCCTCCTCTTCCTCCTCCTCCTCCTCCTCTTCATCACTCTCTGTGGGCTTCTCTTCTACTACTTCCTTGGTTGCCTTCTTCTTTGAAGCCTCCTTCGCCTTTTTCTTCTGATTCAATTTCTTGAAATCGGTGCCCTTTTCGGCGGCCAAGGCCATCTTGAGTCTGCCTTTCGTAACCATACTGGGCGTTTGTAAATTATCTCCCTGCTGGAACAAATGTTGGCGGGGAAATAGAAGTTTTTATTGCAGCAAGCGCATACACTGGGGTTCAGGTCAATTGGGAAAAGTTACATGCGACCAGCAACAAAAAATCTCCAATTCTGCCGAACCAAAATCTCACCGCCCTAAACGTGTGCCCCACCACGACTTTAGGTGGGGCAGGCGGTGGCATGGCTGGTGTCAGTCTCTGTGAACCTACCCTGTAACGCTCTCAGAGACTAAACACAAATGATACACACGATTCTACTTTTAAGGAGGGTGTGATCACGGGTTTCTGGGGGTTCCTTTACATTGGGGGTGTATATATGATAGAATGCCACTTCTTATGATACATTTCCCTCCTTAGGGTGAGAATCTCAGGGTTTAGTTCTTAAGTTTACCATCACATATGCACTGAAGAGACTACTACTGCAGGGGAGAATATAGGTTCCAACGGTTCAATTGATAAAAGAAGCTAAAATTAGAAAATACTTCCAGGCCATCAGATCCTCCCCGAAGATGAGTATATTTTTAGAATACCTCGCTGAAAGATCCATAAAGAGGGTAAAGAAACTCTTGAGTGTGCCGCGTCCGGCGGGCCAAGAGCCATAAAATATAAGTTGAAACTTGAAGCCGTCGGATGAAGTGTCAGTTCTAGGTGAAATTCATGCCGTCAATGTCGAGTTCTTTTCGTGAAAAAGCCGATGTGAGGCTGTGAGCCTCGTGATGTGCCGGCCTTAGTCGATGGATTGCCCAGCAAATCCGGAGATGAGAGAAAATGAGCGAGCTCTTTACATTGTGGTGCAAGTGAGCGGCGTGTTTTTCTGGATAATGCAGGTGAGAGGAGTGTTCTTCTGGATGATGCAGGTAAGGGGGGTATTCTTTTGGATAACACATGTGAGAGGAGTGTTCTTCTGGATGATGCAGGTAAGAGGTGTGTTGCGAGCCATTTTGAGTGAGTTGCTTGGCGGCGATGGAAGACTTGAAAGATGGTAGTTTTGTTTGGTTGAGTGATCTTGTTTGGTTTGATTGAGTGATGATGATGATGAGGAGAGAAGAGATTCGGGGAGAAGTTTATGGGATTTTTATACTTGGAGAGGACAAATCGAAGTTGTTCGGACACGAGTTTGCTCGAGACATAGAATGGAGTCTTTGAGAAGCCTCATTCATTCATCTTTCAACTGGCTAGTATGAAATAGGGTATCCAGATATGGCTCTTCGTATTGTTCTGAGAGTTCTCTCACCAACATGACTATGATGTTGGCCAATGAATCGTGTTCGGGCGCCACCCCTCCTCAAACCCCTGCATTAAAAACAGATCAATTCGTAAAGGAAAGTCCCGTTGTCTTCTAAATAGGCTAGATGAAAGCTTGGTTGATGCCCCTGGCATTATGTTCGTGAGGTGGGCTGCCCGCTTAGTATTGTTGTGCTTAATATTGTTCTCGGCGCCACCGCGATGAGGTGGGCAGGAATAATCACAGGACGGAACTCTGCCAAGCGGATCACATGCAACATCTCAATCATCCAAACATATTAACTTTGTTAGATTAGGAGAAGTGAAGCCGATTTCCGGAGAATTTGAATGAACTTCGGGATAATACTTTTCGTTGCCACCCCTGATACATACACCAAGTCGGACACGATGCGTCGGCCGCCCCAGACTAAAATCGAGAGAATGGAAGCCTGCCCTTGTTAACATGAATTCGAAGCTAAAGGGGAGTGTAAATTCTTACCATTTGCCTTTCAATGTGATGACAACCCAGGGAGCACCTGATTCATCGACTTCCTTGTCCACTGTGGTCGAGAAGCAGATGGCACTCATGATCCCATCCCCGAACTTCTCATTCAGGATTGCCTTGTACGCATATCCGTAATTTTGAACAATCTCGTACAGTCTGTAGATCAAGGGCTCCACTGGGGGCATTGGTGCTGCGCGACCCCGGTCAGGGAAGCCCATCATCTCGGCTTCTAGAGCATTCTTGGGGATGCCGAGAAACTGGGAGAGACGGTCTACGTCCTCTGGGGTGGCTGTCGCCTGACCATAGAACAATGCCGCACATGCGACCTCACTCCGCTCAAGATGCTTGGCGATCTCCTCGAAGCTTACGCCCTTCGCCGCCTTTGCATTGAAGAGGGTGGTTGAATATGGAGGTAGCCTAGGGGCGATGGAGGCCTGGGTCATGTTAGTCCTCATTCCTGGAGAGCCATTTCGTTAGAAGGGCGCACGTACATCCAAGGTAGCGATTCGGCCTTCGTTAGACATGGTGTCTGCTGCAAGGGAGTATACTATGTGGCGGTTTGTTTGGGCTAATGAGGTTATAATATTGTTTTCCTCTTGAAAGGTGGGTAAACTCGACGCTTGTCCTCGATCAACCTTTGAGAGACTAGAGGAGAGACACAATTTATATAGCCTTACAAATTGACGCACTATCATGGAAATTACTAAGGTAAATAGCTATCTTCTGCGGGGTTGTGTATTACACTCGAGTGACGTTCTCTCGAAGCTGCTTAATGTGCGGGTATATCCTGGTCGTATTCGGCGATAATACGGATACTCGCAATGAGCTACATACCCCATCGGAATCTCAGGTGAGGAGTCAGTTTTTTCCCCATCAGGGAAAAACAACTTCAGTTAAGGATCCTTGTAACAAGTGATTGCCATTATGGGGTATCGTCTTCTCTGAGAACATTTGCTGCGTTTTGGAGGTCATCGGTATTGAGAATATCAACACCTTCTTCCCGCAATGAGGCCCATATATTATTTCTCAACCCAATGGGCCAGGTCGGCAAATTCCAAAAGCGTACTTGGAGTTCGTGATCGTGGGCTGATCGAACTTGGCTTCGAATTTTGTCCAACTGTAATGAGTTTAAGCCTGAAGGCGAGACTCTTCCGACTAATTTTGGGAGAGACATGCTGGCCCAATGGGAGTTGGCGGCATCGTAAAGACCACTTTGTACATTTGAGAGAGGGGCATCGAGGAACACATCGCGGGGTGCAGCAGACTCATCTTGATTCAGCACATGTGCCGGGATATCCCCAGTCACGACAACGGTGATGGGTCTTGTGATCTTCTGATTGCTGACGTATGATGTTAGAAACATAGACCGGCGAAGAGGCTCCAATTGCCTCATCAGGAGCGACCAAGTGCTTTCTGGATGTGACTTGAAATCCACTAGGAGCACCAATGTCTGTGTCGGGCGGGATTTATATAGGCCCCGGGGTGCCGTAGCTGGTAGAGCAGACAGAGACGTTCCTGTGTCTTCCAACTGCTGGATAAGCGGGTTGAGATACATCGACTTCAGGGTGCGATTTGGCACCATGGTGTCAAGGCTATGGGCAACAAATAGCTCATCCTTGTAGGCCCAGACATCAGCTTCAACGCCCACACAGCCAGCCTCCAAGGCTGAGAATAGCGGTCTTTCTCTCCAGTAGTCATTATGGGAATGACATGAGACTGGCAGGATGGCAGCCGGGGAAGAAGGCGGAGAGTTGTGCAAAGTCTCCCTGCCGCATAGTAAAGGACATAATAAAGGAGAAGCCTTGATGATGAGGGCTGAGAGAAAGAAGATACATCTTCACGAGGTGTTAGTCCCTACCAATCAAAAGAAGGTGTGTGCCATGACCAACTTACATAATTGCTGATCCTAATAGTCGGAATGCTTCGAAAAATCCGGGATGCGAATTTCGAGATGTAGACTTAGGATGATTGTAAATGATAATGCCTTCATTCTTGTTCATGGTGAAATGGGCAGCGCTTCTCGGGAAATTGCCCCAAAGCGAGCCTTGGTGCGTTACATGTTATTATTTTCTGGTGGTTCATACATCGTTAATATGGTCCGGGATGTTGATAGTATGGATTTCAACTACATGAATACTTACTAGTGCATGATGGTATGCCAGGAAGACTTCTTTTTTCTTGAAAGGCAACGGCAACCTCGGGGAGGAGGAGCTAATGTATGTTGTCGGGAACTTGAAGGAGCTACTTGAGCAGCTCGCTTGAGTGTGGGGCATTAAATATCCCCACTTATTTCCCGTGGTATCAAGTCCCACTTTAAAAAAGTTACCGCCGATACTCTCTGTGATCAGCAAAGAATTTCGACATCAACGACTTTGCTATTCTTTTTCTTAACCGACACATGGGAAAGAGTAAACACTCCGACAGATACTCATCTGAACTTTCTGCGCCCCCACGAATTTATTTTAAATACCAACATGCCACACAAGCATAAGCGAAAGAGAGGTGATGATGGAGAGTCAGTGTTTTCAACGTTCTTGCCTGCGTATTCTCCTCTAACTTTGAATTAGTTATGAACTCCCACCTACCCAGAAAGCTCGGGCCCTTCCAGTAAAAGGCCAACCTTCGTCGACGGAAGCGGCCAAAAGAAAGAACAAGAAGCGGAACAAGAACCAGGACGATGCGCCGCGTGCCTTCAGACGGCTCATGGCAGTGGCACAGGGCAAGAAATTCCGATCGGGTCTTGACAATGGAGATAAGAAGGAACCATCTACACAAGAGCCAGAGGCCGAGCCGTTACGGATACGGCCCGGCGAGGACATGCGGACCTTTGCCTCTCGCGTCGATGCGGCGTTGCCCGTTTCCGGCCTTACCAAGAAGGCAATTGTGAAGGATGGCAGGGACGAGCAGGGAATGAAAGTCTACAAAACGCGCAAGGAGAAGAAAATGCACAAGCTCTACGACCAATGGAGAGCAGAGGAACGTAAGATTCATGAGAAGCGGGAAGACGAGCTTGAGCTGGAGGCTGAGAAGGAATTGGAAAATGATGGTGTGAATTTAAACACCACATCATCCTACATCCTGGATGAACCGTCGGGCGGGAAGAAGAAGAAGCGTGGTGGAAAGGATGATCCTTGGGCAGTGCTCAGGAAGCGGAGGGGCGAGGGCAAGATTGGCTTGCATGATACAGCCCAGGCGCCTCCTGAACTTCACAAGCAAAAGACGCGCATGCTGAAGGTCACGGACGGCGCCACAGTCGATGTTGGGAGCATTCCAAAATCAGCTGGCAGTTTGAGACGCCGTGAAGAGCTGCAAGTGGCTAGGGACGAGATTGTAGGCAAGTATAGGAAGCTTCGAGCACAAAAGCACGCTAGGGCCATGGGTAAATCCTCGTCCGATTAAGCGGTCCATGAGAAGGAAAAGAAAAGAAATATAATATTTTACCAGGCATTATTTATCTTCCTGGATTTGGCCAGTGTCTCATGAGAAAATGGCATGTGCTGTGATTAGAGATGTACTACTTTCACCATTGATAATGTTGCCTGTTTTGGGAAGATGGATGCTCTCCGGCAGGCAGACAAGCAGGGTGATGGCTGATACGAGTACTCAATGTTGAGATATGACAGTAGTTCTGCTCGGGATGCATCTTGAAGATCGCACAATGCGACATGTGGGTCTGGCCTCTGAAGCAAGCCACAAGAGGCTGGAGAATTTGTGGACCACTCATGTGCGACATCAAGCGGGGCCTCGAAGCGGGAGAATCTGACCTTTTCATCCACCAACCCCAGCAGCAGTGTTTTCTTCGCTGGGTCCTGCGTTCAAACCCGCCCCAAGCGCATATATCGTTTTCATTTTTATCTCTGTCTGCGCTGACTATGAAGCGACCCATTCTCTGTATATCATGGCCTGGGACCTTGAGGGCCTGATAGCGGGCCTTTTGGTGCATATTTCATGTGCTGGCGAGCAAGGTATGTTAACATCCTGCCGGTTCATAGTTGCTAGCATTTGCAAATAAGTATAGCAATCAATTGCGGCTTGGATATATGGATAAGCTGAGCCTTTCCCCTTACCATATACCAAAAAACTCATCACCCAATATTGAGCAAGCATGTGCTGACCACAAAATCCCTAGGCTGTTCTGTGGAGGATTTCCTCAAGGCTGTGCAGGATACTTTATCTGGGGGCCCAGCGAGCTATCGCCAAACCCTTGAACAAAATGCCCAACCTCCACAAGATGAGGAGGCATTGAATCTTCGCGCCGCCTCTTCTGTGTGGGGCTGGCTCACTCAAAGACAGGATGTGTCAGTGGGACCAGAGCGAAAATACAACCATATGACTCTGGATCAGGTTATGGTTCTCGCGAAGCTTTCGGATCCAGACTCAAGTGACGATCCAGACAACTCACGAGAACCAACAAAACAGAAGAAAACGTCTAAAAAATCACAAGAGGGCCAATCTAGTCGACACAAACTACCAGCTTCCCCACAGGCTCCCAATGATCTCCGACTTTTTGCTTCTGAGGAAACTGTATGGGAAGCACTTGCTGGCCATGGGCCCGACTATAAACGACTTCCTCGATCCGAATGGGTCCTTCTTTTGGGAATTGCGTCTACAAAGACGGACGGAATTTTGCAGGGTGACCTTGGAAGGCTTGTCGACCAAGACAAGCGATCCGTGCCTAAACGAACTGACATGCTTCTCAAGAAAGGCTACATCACCAAACGGACCACCCTAGTTAGAGGGACAAAGACCAGCAAGATGTGGCTCCGGCTGTTTGCGCCACCGCTGGTTAAGGAGGGTGCGGATACGGAGGAGCCAAAAGCCGACGACCTGGTTCTTGCGCCTCAGTTTCTAACGGCGAACCTAGATCCTGTTCCTTGGCATAACCGCTGGACTGGAGAGTCTGTCGACTACATTGCTTTGGCGACGACAATCATGGCCATCGCAAAGGAATGGGGCGTTATGCGCCTCCTCGACCTGAAGTCTAAACTAGGCGTGCTCCGCCTGCGCTGGCAAATGAAAGTAGTGTCCAAGATTTGTAGGTTCCTTAACTCCAGAGGCGTGATTCAATATGTCGCCGCTCGCCTTCACTCAAAGGTGTTCAAAGACTGCATCAAGTATATCAGGGACTTAAACTCCCACGATTGGTCACTGTACCTTGCTACTGGCAAACGAGAAGCCAAATCTAGTAGGATATTAGAGGCTGGGCTGCAAGATCCTGCTGATGGACCTGATTTGACGATGGGGCTTTACATCAACTCCCCTTTGCTGACCTCGTACCCTCCGTGGACATGGGACGAGCCCTTAGCTAGCTACGTGCTGAAGACAGCGCGCACGCTGAATGAGACAGGGGTTACGAATCCTGTTATCTATAGTCTCACTCTGGGCTCAACATTCACCCGTTTTCTGTCGACTCTGACCTCATCCATGGCTACTGCAACAGTGCAACCTCATGGCCTAAAACATCTCCAACTCTCAAGCGAGACTGTCCGAAGTGGTAAAGTTGCTTCATATCGATACTTTGTGGCCTCAGCACCGACTGCGGACGATCCTACTGGAAGCCGTAGCCTTCAAGACTCGCACTCATCCCCGAGCGATTCTTACGGCTTTGTGAAGTATGCCCCTCCAACCAGCGGCATGGATTCATCGTCATCTCTTTCGAAGCTATGTGGTCGAGGTTCGAGTAAAATCCGCGGCAGAGGAAGGCCAAAGGCGCATAAGCTTGTAGTATCTACTCGCTCCGACTCTATGCAGCCCACAGGTTTGCAGACTCCTGTGGCTGAAGAAACAGCCATGCTGTTGGATACGCCTTTAAGCGAATCACGACCTGCTTCGCCTGAAGCGCAGACAGAGTCTCCAAGTCGGCAGCCGCACAATGAGCCAATTGACGAGTCATTATCCGTTGATGTTGGGTCGGTTGTTACACTGAACGATGATCGAAAACCAGATCTACCAATTGCTGTTGAAGATATCGCTACTCCCAAAGCTTCCTCAGCAGAGAACCTCAATACTCCGGCAGTATCGGACCATCTGGCGGAGGAACGTATTGAGGAAACAGAAAATGTCGACACTCCTGCTGACAACATGGAAATTGATCAACAAGAGTCTGTAGATATTGTCCCGGGAGGGGAGGATATTGCAGCGGCTGAGAATACTGGCGGATCACCAGCTGCTGGTTCTGGGCGCGGACGTGGAAGATCCTCTCGGGGAGGACGCGGCCGAGGCAGTGGACGTGGCCGTGGAAGAGGAGGATCCAATGCAGCTGGCGGTAGCGCTGCTGGCAAACCGTATAAGTGTGAGAAATGCGGCGGTGCTTGGAAGAATGACCTGGGCCTTAAGTATCATCTGGAGAAGGCTCGAACTACTTGCAATCCTTCATGGGACCCGTCATTAGTTGTGCCAAAGCCCCTCAAACCACCAAAACGAGGGAAGCGGGAAGTGGAGAAGCTCTTGGACGCACAAAGCGGCCCAGAATCTTCAGAGAAAGAGCCTGAGGTGGAGGGCCCAGTGCCCTCGCTGAATGGTGAAGAGTCCAATGCACCGGGTACGGTCGGCCGACGGAAGCGAACAGCCAGAGCAAAAGAAACTTTGGACGACACGAAAACCAGAGGAAAGGATGCTAAGGGGATATACTCCCTAAAGGTGACTAGACCACGCAAATCCCAACCATCCAGACCAGAGACCACCGCGGCCCTTTCTGCTCCTCAGACTGGTCAAGGGTTACTGATTGATATCACATCCAATCAAACCCGCCAGATATCTGATTTTGTCCCTGGCCGAAATGATGCTCAACTGAACTCCACGGAGCCCGTCTTAATTGATGACCAGCTACTGATAGACCCATCATCGTTGGGCGGTTCAGAAGGGTTTGGTGCTGACGTGATTGGGGCTGGCTTGGAAATCCTCCCTCAATCCCTGAAAACTGAGATTGACGAGCAGATGAGCCAGACCCAGGAGGAAGAAGGCCCGTCTATTATTTCACTTGGTCAAGCGTCTCCTAGTCGAGAAAGAAAGGTGCCGGAAAAAACTAAAAAGCCTGCATCCAGGGCAGAACGAGTCCGGCGGATTAAAACCATGTTGAGTACGCTCCTGACGGATAATAATGGGGTCTTCCCAGGAGGAGAGTCCCTTTGGCGTTCCCTAACAATGCTCTGGGTAAAGGATTACCATGGCGAACCTCCACCGTCCTCGAAAGACTATCAGGGGGCTCTGAAGTCCTTGATTACCCGGAAAGTTGTCGCAGAGCAGCATCACGTTTTTCGAGCCCGTCAAGGCTTATTTGCGAAGTGCCAAGTTGTTTCTTGGCCAGACATGGATCCATTCAGCTCGCAAGCCCTCGAGTTGGTGGAAAAGGTCAAAGCCGCTCACCCTAAGCCTTATTATCCACCAACATCAGTGGCGGCTGAGAATCCTGAGTCACGCGACGATGCAGATGTTCGGCATAGCCGGAGACCCTTGCCTGTGGAGATCTCAACTCTGGATGCGCCAGTCTACGCCGCTCAAGCTGCTGCAAAGAGAGAGTTGGAAGAGGCCAATGAGACACCCCGCCAATATAAAAGACGGCGAAAAACTCAGCCCTCAAGGCCGTTTAAGAATGATGTCAAAGACTCTATGACTTGGGTCATCGCCGGTGAGTTGTCAGACTCATTCCCAATGGCGCACGATGGCCCTATCCAATTCCTTGACCCAAATACCTTTATGGAAGAGGAGCCACCAGCGTACTCGGCGCAGAAAATTGCTACACAGCAAAGATCGAAACGTCCATACAAGCGGCGAACGAGACCATCACCTTCTCAGGATGACCTACTTCTTGATCCTGCACTGATACCTCCTGTGGACATCAAGCCCATAAAGATGTTGATTTGTGGGGAAAATCTCGAATGGCCCGATGTTTTAGTGAAAGACTTTGAGGAGGACTGCAGCTTTTCACTCCAAGGATGGATGCCAACGAAACAATGGTTTGTGTGGGAATGCTTCGGAGAGGAGATCCAAAAGAGAGCCTTGAGCCGACTTCAAGCAAAGGCCGCTAGGGGAATTCCCGCCAACACCCCGTATCTGAAGCTAATCAACATGTTGCAAGCTGCTGTCAATGCTGAGAGTGCTTGGATGTCGGGATTTCTGACGACATCTATCTCGCATATGCCGCTCAAGATATTTATCAATTTTGCTGGCAAAATGGAACAGAGCATCACGATCCCTACCCAGATTTCCTGGCCCGAAGATGGTCAGCTTACACTCGAACACCCTGGGAGTGAGAATGCTGGTTCCGATTCATCGGAGTCGTCATCATGGAGTGAGGATGAAACGGAAATTGCAGCCGCGCCCTTATTCAAAAGGCGAAAATTACTATACAGTCCAAGGAAATACACTAGGCGAGGGCTCGAACCTATAAAGAGGGTGCCACTTGCCTCTCGTGCTCTAACAGCTCTTCCAGAGCAACACCTGAGAGATAAATTCGAGGATGGAACAAACAAGACTCGTGATATCGAGGACCCAGATGAAGTCCTGGCAGCTATAGTAGCCGTTCGAGCCTTGCTTGGTGGGACAGATAAATCCATTGACTGGGGTCTGTTGGTCAAGATTTTCCCCGACATTAGCTTGGAAGTTCTTCGCAGATTCTGGGTCAAGGCTGTCAAGTCACAGGGACCATACATTGAAAAATATGCGAGTATCTTTCATGAGAAGTTTCTCGAGGCATATGAAGCAGATGAGCTCGCGCCAATTGACTATGACAATCTTCTTGATTATGACTGGGCTGCCCTGGTTCGGTGGACGATGGACCTTCCAGCCCCAGACATGATCGAGATGCCCGAGACTCGAGAAGAGCTGCAACGCCATTTCAATCTTCAGGATGTGAAACGACCTGCTGAGGATTGGAGAGAAAGGTTCTTCCATGTTCAAGGGTCAATTTATGGCCGTTTGGAGGCGGCTACCATGGACCCAGGTGTTATCAGCCTTGATGAGCTATCGCGGGATGAATCCAAGAGAACGAAGTTGAGTCTTATGACAGTGGCCAGGTCTTGGGTCAAATCACTCTGTTGCACGAACGGTAGATACACACCGGCGCAGATCAAAGACCAGCTACTTACCCTCGGGAAGAAGGAAGCGGCTGCCAAAGTTGCCTCTGTCCTCCGGCGGGCCATAGAACAACTGACAGTACTACGAGTTATCCGCAAGAGTCGACGCCCCCCCCTTGGCGGTAGGCCGTATCAACTCACCGAGTGGTATATTACCAACATGGCTAAGCTCTCCCAACGCTCCAAATTTGAAAAGGCTCTCGCATTCAAACTGAAACTGGACGATGCTTATCGCCGCGGAGAGACGTTGACAATCCCCTACACCGTTAATGACGGAACTATGATGGCGTTGGCCAACATGAGTGCCCACGGCCGCATCAGGCTCTCCTCCACCAACATCCCCGAGATTCCCTTTGGGTTTGAGCCAGGGAACTACGAGAGTCGAAAATTCCCCAAATCCTACTACCACTTTGAAGTCGCGGCAGAACCGACCGACACCTATCTCTGCAACGAGGATATTGAGGCACTTGGTACTGTAGTCGGCGAGGAGCCACCGGCTCAGGGCGAGGATAGTGAGCTCCCGCAATGGAGGGACTTCTTCGGGGTCTGCGACCATGAGAGGTGGTTCGATGTGCTTGGGGCGCTGTGCTTTGCCTACTCGACGAGGGGCGAGATGACCCTCGAGGGAATTTGCAGCGCCATGAAGCCAGTCCTGGAGGAGTTCGAGGCTCAGATGGTGCTCGGCTGGGGGGTGAGGACCGGCGTCCTTAGGGAAGGGGCCACTGGGGAGGGCGTGACAGTTGGCGAGTGGTGGTGGCTGGCAGTTCCATGGGCGCGGCACTGCGCGAGGGACGAAGAGGAGGACAACGGAGAGCTGATTGCTGACGGAGGTTTTCCTTCTTGACTGTACTTTTTTCGATATGTATTTCAAGTATGATACCCGGACGAGCGGAGAGCAAAACCGCCAGGCAGACATTTTTACCATCAGACAAGAGTCGTGTGTTCTTGTATTCATAGACTCACGACGAGGACCCTAATGAGAATTGATGGAAGCTTTTCATGATATGCTCAATTGTAGACTTTAAGAGACTCTTTTGGAACTCAAAACAACATGCATGCCCTTAACTTCGAACAAGGATATCTATAAATTAACACGTTTCACGATACCCTGACCACCAGGTGTATTACTCCAAGAACGCCGATTTGCAATACTCTGAAACGACAGGCGGACGGGACTTCACCGGGCCATTCCTCTCCCATTTCGCTCTCAGCCCCCAGACAAATAGCTTTCTGGCTTGAGAGAGAGAGGGAGGAGAAACCGGACCGCCGGCTCAGACCCCAAACAAAACCTTCAAGACCAATGCGGAAAGCATAACGACGAGTGCGACGATTAGACGATCCAGCCACACGGGAACACCCTCATCCGACGGCCGCCTAGGGCTGTTGGTAGATATCGCTCCCGTCTGTGGCGCGGTGGCTGTCCGACCGAGCTGCGCAGCTTGACGCTGTCCTGCACCACCGCCACCAACAGCAACAGGACTCAGCGGCGACGTGGGCGTCGGGACCGGCCCCGTCTGGACGAAGCCCTCGGCCAGCTGCGCGACCTCGGCCGCCTCCTCCTGCTTCTCCCTCTTCTGCTGCTCGGCCTGGGCCTTGCGGGCCTCCAGCTCGTCGCGGAAGCCCAGGTTGAGCTCCTCGGGGACCTGGACCTCGTCGCTGGGGGAGGTGCAGGCTTCCTTGGCGCGCTCCTCGCACTCCTTGATGATCTCGGCGTTGGTGCGGCCGCAGGTGGCGCATCTGAAGGCGTGGGATTCGCCGGCGAGGCGGCGGCGTACGGCCTCGGTGGTGTCGTACCCCCCCAGCTGGCCCTTTGCATCGGTGATCATGAAGCTTCGGAGTCTGTAGATGTTTTGATGCGATTAGTATATGCTTGGGAAAGCTAGGAGGAACATGGTGGTGGTAGTCCTTACGCAACAATTGCTGTGCGGATGCCCCAGGCAGGCTGCCAGGTCTCCTCATGGTGGCCGCTGATGCTCAGGCATATCTCCCGGTTGGCTTCGAAGCGGCCATTTGGGGTCATGAACCTGAAGCTGGGAGGGCGCAACGGGTATGTGGGGGGTAGAACGATGCGGCCGTGGTAGACACCTTCGCTGTACGGCGAGTTGGGGACGCCGCGGAGGGTGAAGTGCCACTCGAAGAGATCGGACTCGAGCGGCTCGGCTGTGTAGTCTGCTGATGGGGAGTTGGATATCTCAGCAGCTTCGCGGACTAGAGCACGTCGATGTGTTAGTGGATGGATGCATGTGACACAGCTGCTGGGCTGAGTGGAGTCGATCGGGGGAGGAGCATGGAGAGGAGAAATGCATGATGGACGTACGAATGCGCCGGATTGTTGGCGATTTGGAGGCGGCTTGGGGAGTTGTCGCCATGGTGCAGGATTGGCTTGGGAGTTGAGTTCAGAAACGGCGGTTAGAGGTGTTCAAGGTGGCATGTCCTCTTTGGGCGATGAACCTCCGACGGTGGACGACGGAACCCAAGATCAAGCCAGCGCCCTTCTCCGACGTCGATGGACAATTAGAAAGCAGTGGTCGAGGTATAGTATAGGGAAACGGATGCTTCAGCAGGAGGTAGCGAAAGAAGAGGTTTTACGTGGCCAGTTGTATGCAACTGGTTGACGACATGGATCGGAGCGGTTGTGTCGAGGTTACAGTGAGCACCCCAGTGGCACACTCCACAGTGACAACAGCGGCGGGGTCTGAGTTCTAGCTGCCAGCGTCAAGTGCGTTTAGCAGGTGCAACAGCCAGCTCTAGTGTCCCCGCAGCTGCAACTGAAGTACCGCTCCAGCGTATCCGCGTCCACGTTATGTAAGCAGACCCGCCTTTCTCACTTCAACCACAGCCGCCAACTGCATCCCGAGATTCCAGCCGACGACGGCCATACTCGATCTTCACCACCACGACACCGGCTTTCAATTGGCACCCCATTGAACCCCGGCGCTGTCGAACATTCGAGGCATCTGTTAGAACGTGCGTCCTTCTACACCCATCAACCTTATAACCCGCGCTTTTAGCTTACCCATGCTGCTGCAGCTTGAATTGAACCGAACATCCTCCCGTGCGAGAATAACGATCGAGCCGCCAAACATCGACAATGGGCCCCCCTAAGCCCCCCGTCCCCCATGTCCCGGGAATCTACAGATACACCGCTACCGCTCTGGGTGCCGGTATGTGGTTCTGGGTAAGTCGAGAGCCAATCCTTCGGACCCAATTTTGAGATTTCTGCGACGGCCGGAGTCTCGCCATTGTTCGACAATGCTAACTCGGGACCGTGATAGTTGATGTACAGAGCCAAGAAGGATGGTATGAAAACCCGAAAACCCGGTCGACGGTGCGAATCGCAAGACATGGCTAACCAACACCCCGAACGCAGGTCCCGTATTGATGGGCTGGAAGCATCCTTGGGACCACTAGACAAGTCGATTCAGCTAGAACGCAAAAGGGGACTCTGGAAAGCGTTATGTGCAGCTTCACACAGGGACTCGCTGGTGTACATATATGCAGTTAGCAGTAATCAAGCAACTGTCTTGTCTGAACTGGGCATTCGCCAAGATTGATCCATTGAATGGGCAATCCAATCAACCACATCGAAAGAAGCGTGATAATGATATGCGAGGGGACAGTAGTTCTGGAATTTCGAAATATTGATTCACGTCTCAACCGTTGGCATTCTCGCCAATGGGACGCGAAGGATTACTAACCTCATTTGTTGAACAGGGGGGATGGGACGGATGTACACAGATGCAAGTGAAGTTATCAGTATCAAACTAAAAGATGCGAATCTCTTCCTACAGTACTAGTGCATATTGCCGTTTGTACTCCAGTGTATTCTACCATACTCTCTTCTGTATTAATAGAACATATCCTAGCCAGGTATCCGAAAGAAATTCCACCCATGTTTCTATGTTGCCATTGTATCTGCGATATCTTTATACTTCTTGCGCTTCTTCAAACCCCCTGTAGCTTTTTGTTGCAACTGCCCAATTTTTCGCGCCAGACGCAGGGATATGAATTTCTCATATGTCCAAGCCAGCAGCCAAAACAATGCTCCCAGAGCGATAAGGAACATCTCAAAGCTCACGCTCATAGGTGTTAGCTGCATGGTTTTTGAAACCCAGTGTGCAGGTGCCAGTATCATATATACTGCTACAACAAGTGCACATGTAACCGTTAGAATGAAAGGCCCTGTGAAATACTACTGTCAATAAATGATTCCAAAAAATGGTCCAGACCCATGTTTGAGGCTTACAATTTTTGGCAGCACGCTCTCGGAATGGAGGGCCAGCATTAAGGACCACAGCCGAGAAAATATACTCGAAGCAAGAGGTCAAGAACAAGACCGTATTTTCCGAGTTCTTGATGTTGGACTTGTTATGCTTGAGCTTCGGAGGAATGTACCAGGATTGTGTCTTGACGCAAACGTATGCAATCGCCTGAATGGAAATGCAGATAGCCATCATACCAAGCAGAGGGGTGAGAACTTTTCGAGAGACAAGGTCCGCTGTAGGCCTCTTCCTATGAAGCGTAGGCGCCGGGCCTGACCATCCCATGAAGATGGCGAGCGGGACAATGAGCAGCAGGTCGATGAAGAGAAACTGGAAATCTCCCAAATTCGATGCCTTGGCATATAGGAAGCTCACCGAGGTGAACTGAATAGCCGAGTACAGACTCATATACTTGAAACAACTGAAACTTGTCACAAGAGATGCGCGACCCTCCCTGCACATGAACTGGTTAGAACCCGAATGTAGAGAGGGGGAATGCCTACTCACTTGATGACTTCGAGAACGCAGCGGATGTCGAACACGCGGGATGTGAAGGGGGCTGCGACGGAAGCCTCGGCCTCTGACAGTGAAATTCCAACATCCGCCGCCTTTAGGGCACCGCAGTCGTTGGCACCGTCTCCACAGAAGCCGCAGGTGTAGTCAATGCTCTGCATTTTTTCAATCAATTCGTGCTTCTCGTCAGGAGACATCCTCGCGAACACCTTGCCCTTGACGAGCATCTACATAGTATTATCAGTTGAATAGCTCTGTATAGGTAGCAAGGGATCAACGTACCCGACATAGAAGCTCGGGAGACGCATAATCTACCATCCATCGGAAGACATCTCCGCTAACCGCAAGCGAATAGTTTCGAAGATTCACAATGTCGTAGGGCAGGGATGCATCATCCTCTGGGGGGGCCGGCAATGGCTAGTGTCGTGTATTAGTATGTCACTTGGATTTGAATGAGAGAGAGCAGCCAATGCATACAGTCAAGGTGGCGTTATCAAGGCAGTAAGCCGAATTGTCAATACTTTCCCAACGCAACTCAGCCTTGGGGTCGCGAAAATCACCTATAATGGTCAGCACCCATTTCGTAATTTGTCTATGGGGAGAACTTACCAGCTATAAATCGAGGAACAAAGCAATGAGCACTTCGGTCAATCATCGAGCATTCACGTGCCACACTGATTGCCGTTAAAATATTGTCGCCAGTGACCATGACGGTCTCAATGTTGGAAATAAGAAGTTCCTTGATAACATCCGCCGTGGTGGGTTTCAGCTTGTTTTCAAAGATGATAAACCCCGCAAACTCCAGGTCACTTTCGACGTCCGTTCTAGCCATCTTTTGGGCTTTAACCCAGCTGAGCTTCTTCAGATGCTTTGTCGCACACCCAATGACACGGTATCCTTTATGAGTATAGAATGCCAGGCGCTCCTCATAATCATGCGGGACTACGAAATTGTGAGCAAGGGGTCGTGGTGATAGAAATATACAGCAACTTACAGCTCTCGGGTCGGCAGATCTCACGCATTGCTTCAGGGGCACCTTTCACATAGATATCACCACTCTTATCCCCAAACTGGCGCACGATAACGCTGGCTCGCCTTAGCTGGGATACGAACTCGAAAGACTTCAGAACTCCGAGCTCAGACGAGTTCTAAATGGCTCAGTTAGCATGAAGCCCGGAAAAATGTTTGAGCAAATATCAACACTTACATCTGGAGGTCTAGAGATAGAAGGTGAGAGGCCGCCCGGCTCCTCGTCTTCAGCATCACCGACACTCTGCTTCCCTTCTTCAAAAGTCCAATGCGTGAATTCGAACATTTTCTGGTCCAGAGGGTCGCCGACGAGCTCCCCGTCAACTGATCTTAGCGAGTGGCAGGTAGCCATGGTGTGCAATACCGCACGCAACGTGGTGTCTTGGCTTGCCCCGTTCCGAATATTACCAAGCTCGTAAGTATCTGAGATGACCTCGCTGAAAGTGTGAGAGGACTGGTGAACGACACGAACACCGAGAACATCCAAGCCATCTTCCGTCAAGGTGCCTGTTTTGTCAAAACACATAATATCCAGCTTACCACCGACATTGACACGCTGAGGACTGATACAGAATATTTGCTTGCCTTTGAGTCGGCTGATTGCAAACCCTGTGCCGATCGTCAGAGTGGCCGGTAGAGCGGGAGGTACAACGATGGTAATGAGATCCAGGGCCCGGACAATGATTAAATGCCATTCGACTCCGAGCCTCACAAAGTTGATTAGGGAGGCGATAAATCCAAGGATGGCGACGACTGCCATGACGCCAATGTATCGGAAGGAGTCGCGATAGAAGCTGAACCCCGAAGGCTTGGGGAACAACATGGATCGGACTAAAGCGCCCTTTGTAGTATTGAAGCCTGTTCTAACAACAAGAGCAAGGGCAACGGCGTCTCCATCCTGGTCTTCTTGGGGCCGACGTGTGCGAATAATCTTGGTGCCGCAGAAAAGAAAGTGGCGTGCTGTCTCTGGAGACACAGAAGAAGCCCCCAAATCCATTCTCAACAGAGATTCATCTGTTGCTGGGATCTTTGACACCGGCACAGATTCGCCTGGATTGATGTTAACTTTATATCTCCCAAATACTAGACGAGGTGAGGAGAGGGTTACCTGTCAACATGCTTTCGTTCACGATGCAATCGCCACTGAGGAGCAGACTGTCACTGGGAAACTGTGAGAGATTTGGATCGCTGACTTCATAAATATCGCCGGGTACAAGATCGCTGGAGCCTACGAATCGCCCTATTTTGAGCTGGTCAGACGGCACAATACAGATCAGCCTGGATGGGGGTGAGGAAACATACAAAAACCATTTCGAAGAACTCTCACGTCGCACTCAAAACGTGATATCTCACGCAGCCTCTTCATGGTCTGTTGATTTGGCAATTAGAATCACACTCATATTTACGGGGGAACAGCAGCAAAGCATTGGATACTTACGGCACGGGTTTCAAGCAAAGTCGATGTAATACTGCCAACGGAGATGAATAAGATACACCCGGCATAGTAATAGTACGTGTCAAGAGACCACAAAATGAGACTGGCGATCTGGAAAATGTAGAAGGGA